AATGGTGGCACCTGCATCCTTCAGAAAAACAGGCAGGAATATCGCTGTCAATGTAAGAAAGGATATGATGGGAACAACTGCCAAAATGGTGAGTTTCAAATTACTGCACAAATTGTGCGAGATTGACAGAATATTCCCTGAATCGCATTAGTATATGACTACATAACATTAACTTTTCTAAGGTGACGTTTTTGCTTTTAAGTCACAAACTTCTTCATTCTTTTTTTCTTGAGTATGTACATCAAAATTTGCGTCTTCTTACAAAAGACCACTCAAATTCGAAACTTTAGACAAATAAAATCTGGGCTGATCCAAGTCAGAGCACGGCTAACTCTCATATAGAATCCTGAAAAAAATCCTCTGGTCTGATCCAAGTTAGGGCAAGGCTATCTTACAGATAGAACCTTGAGAAAACCTGAAATTGTCTAAAAATGACTGAAGCTTTTGGTGGTTATAGTGCGCTATGACCACCAAAAGTTTCGGTCATTTCGAGTTAAATATCACAGAGATATTCTGTATTTGATGATTGGACTTTTTACAAGGATCCGGGGTTGACGTCAGCGTTTCGTGATTTCTGACCTTCTGTTTTGAATATCTCGGCAACAAAAAGAAATATCAAAAAGAAAGTAAAGTTCATCCCTATTTATGTCATAAGGGCTTTGAAATCAGGAAGAGATCCTGTAGGCTTGACAGGCACTTTAACTGTCAGTACAAGCAGTTTTTCATTCTGTACAGCTTTCATCCATTAATTGCATCATTTTATGCAGGGCCAGGTCTAAGTAAAACGTTACGGCAAAAATGAGGTTTAAATTTCATCGTTTAGTTTAATGGAAAATTGCCAATTCGGAAAATTAAAGAGACGTTGCAAATGTAATCATGATTTTAATTGGGCAAATAAAAAAATTCAACTATTTTTAGATACGACTAAGAGTGCAGTGCAGTGGAGTAGAAGATTCGTGAAATGGTAAAAATAAACTTAAAATTATTTTTAAAGATATCAAATTATCCCAATTTTGTTCCAGATGTGGACGAGTGTACTGCTGGTACAGACAACTGTCATAATGATGCTACTTGCACAAACACTGGTGGTTCGTTCACTTGTCAGTGTAAACCTGGTTACCAAGGCAATGGAGTGACGTGTACAGGTTTGTAATAATAGTCATTTCAAAATAAAAATAAAACATCGTGGTTTGAAGGCCTCCAAGCCTACGCGACTAGACCGAAAGGAATTCCGGTTAGAAATTCACTAAGCGGATGACTGCATATCAGATACGATCAGATTAGATGCCAAACAGGCAGCGTTTAATGGAAGAATAAACCTGTTCTGTTGTTCAGTACGCAGCCTGTTAAAGGTCTTGCTTGAAATCGTATTTTCTTCCTCTAGTAAAATAGGCCTTATAACGACATTAATCATTTTCTTGTTCACAGATGTGGACGAGTGTACTGTTGGTACACACAACTGCCATTCTGATGCTACTTGCACAAACAATGGTGGTTCGTTCACTTGTCAGTGTAAACCTGGTTACCAAGGAAACGGAGTGACGTGTACAGGTTTGTTAATATCATAAAGTCTATAAATATGATGAGAAATCCGATCTTCAACTTTTGAATCAAATGTTGGATCATAACATAATGAAAGTTGGGCGTACCTCGGATTTTCATATAGCTTACTTGATTGTAGTTTTTGTAAAAGAGGAAATTATGTACCTTGACCTCGATATGATCTTAAGGATATGGATGCAAGCATGCAATTTTTCTCTAAATGTTCCTTTATAAATAACTATTTTCTTTATAACTGCTTTAAAATCTAAATGCTTCATTTAAAACGTAAATACAGGCTTATGTTTGATCAAGACCTCTGTCARAATTTCTTTACATTTTATGATTTTCTAATGTAAGAATATTTTTTAATTGAATCGCCATTTTTTTTAGAGAAAATTAAAGGAGATCATAACGCTTCTTTAATCAAATGGAATTTTAAAATAAATATTACTATGTACCTCGTGTTCCTTTGTAGTAGACTTTAAAGCCAAAACAGTTCGTATAAGTACATAAATATAGGCTATAAAAATGTCTATATTGTCCAGCTTTATCGTAAAACATTGGTCTTGAAACCATGTTCTTCTTACCGATCTTCGCTTAATCGTGCAGAGAATACTGCTCGAACTGAATTATGAATAGCTCACCAAAAAAACCTACTACCCATGATAATCATTGAAAATCTTAGAAATATTCGCTTCGAAGTAATGCGTAGACATTAATTTACGTCACGTGATCGGCTGGCTCTGCCCTCTCTTAATCACTTGGCAACATGGTGAATTTGATTGACAGCTTGTACATGCTAATTGACCGGACTATAGACCGGAACTCTATAGCAGGAGCCCGCAACGGTCCCTTGGGTAATGTCCTGAAGACCCCTGGGTACTATTGTTCAACTTGTCCATTTTGTTGGGGAGGAATCAGGACGAAAAAAAAAAAAAAAAAAAAAGAACGAGACACTGGTAGCAGGGTAGACCGCGTTACCCGGTTTCAGAGATCCAAAGGAGAAGTGGAAATAAGTTGCTAAGTTTCGAAAGACATTGACAGAGCTACTAAAGTCGATGAAAGCCAAATTGAGCAAAACGTTTATGCCATAATTTCATGATAATCGAAATTCGTGTGCCAGTGCTATAAACCAGTGCTATAAACATTATGAAATAAGATACGACTAGTTCATCTTCTGGTCAAATAATATGATGAAAAAAGAGATTAGTTTTCTTGACAGAATGGACTTTTTAGCGCGAAGAATACACTGCCAAAGTGTCATGGCTGCCTTCGTTGTCCATACAACACAAGTAAAATACTCTCAAATATTCAGTACCAGAGGTACATCGTATAGATATGGATACACATGGCAAGAGTTTATTAATAATTATAATATCTTGGCAAACCCTAACTGTGATCGACATTTTGTACATATACAAAAAGTATCTTTATTCTATATCAAATCACTTACATGTTTAAATTTTAGTAAATGTTCGAGTAGCCATCACTAGACGCTATCTCCACCTTCTGTGTTGGTTTTTTATTACCAGAAATCCTTCTTCATTAGAAAAATACAGGTTATTTCAGAGAGAAAAATCGGCTTCAAGGTGTATTTAAATTGTTTTTTTGGAGGGAATTCGAAGCCTATGTATAAATTATATCTTCCTTTTACGAGAAGCATCAGGCTAATCAAAATTCATCTCCATCCTTAGGTTGTAATAATTGTGTTGCTCGATAACAGTGTTTTTATATGATCTTAAGTTTCATGCCGCAAAAAATCTGCTTATACCAAAAAAATTTAACTTTTTGCAAGTAATATATGCATAAAAACCGTGAATAGAAATTTGTCATTTGCAAACATTAACAAAGTTTATAGATGATATAGTTTATAGCCACTGTTCTTTTCCTGTTGGTTTTTTGTCGATTTGCAGAGTGTCTAGCATCAGTCATCGCGGAAAAAATGCTATTGAAAATTGTTTTCGCACCAGATGAAATACATAACTGTTCAAATATTTCAGAGTCGTAGATAGGGGGTTCATTGGACACAGTGAATTCATTAAATAGTCTTGTTMGCAATACCTGTAGTTCTGTCTGGAGGTCGCAACCTGAAATAGAATATGTCAATGGTAAGCATTTTGAATTAAAAAAGAACTGAAATAAATATGACTTGCGTTGTGATAGTCCTTTCATGTGTTGTGAAACGATGCAACTATGAAACTATGTAAATTTATGAAAAAATAAAAAGCTACTTACGTTGAGGAAAGTTTCCGCTTTTTCGAAATTCGGCGACATGCCTTCTACACGTAGAACATATCCACAGTTGCTCGCTAGCTGTTTCAATTACAAAACACTGCTTGAAGTCACTTTTAAAACTTGTGGCTGACTTTGCTTTGTTCTCGTAGTGCTTAAATACTGAACACATTTTGTGAGAGCAATAAAATTCGTTTACAAATAATGTAACCACCAAAAATATCAATTTAAATGACCGCTCCGACCGCGCCATGTTTCAAACAAGGCTCAAACCATACGTCACGGGTCAGTGGCCACCTCTGTAGCCTGCAATCACCTTATTATGCATCAGCGGATGCGTGCATGCGCATGCAAAATTCCCTCCTGTTGGTTTTGGAATTAATAAACATTTTCTAAAAGAAAATTTTCAGTGAACTAGAAGTTGAAATACGATTGATCTCAAGCGAAGGTCAAAAATGCATGAGTTTTAGAAATTTATTTTCATCATTTTATTGTCTTAATAACAAAATCAAAACTCAAATAAACTTATATATATCTTGCATTTATTTGTAGCAGCTTTCAAACCCAAAATACCTTTAAAATATAGCATCGAGTGATCAGAATAGGGTCAGCTTGCAAAATAATTTAAAAGTCGAAGCCATTAATCAGGCGCGTAGTTCTTTAACACGACTACTAAGTTTATCCTTTAGAACTGATCTTCGATTACAAAAAATACTGCTTTGAATAGCTGAATCAAAGCATGAATAGTTAACCAAAACGATCTATTGCCCATGAAATTTGAAGATTCCTTAAAAATCCTAGCTTAGAAGTCCTTAACATCTTGCTTCAAAATCCTTGTTTACGATTACGATGGCGAATTAATATTTCTAGTTCGGCTGTCTTGAATTACAGCAGTCAACGAAATAGAGCATGCGTAGACAAATTTATGTCACGTGATCTGTTAGCTCCGCCCTTTCATAATCACTTTATAGGGAACCCTATAGCAGATGCCCGCCAAAGTCGAAGCCAAGTCGAAGTGCGTTCTGAATATTGGCTGTTTTGCGGTATTTTCTATATGTGACCGCGGTCCGGTATCCTGCGATATCATTACTAAACAACATCCAAAACTTGATTATAAAAACCACTGGAAAGTCAATCCGGATAGGTTAAAACTGTGCCGTCGGTCTTCAAAACAAACCTC